TTAGAGTGTACGGTGAACACAGTCCTTAAGACGAGGAGGACGTAAAGGGAGTGATCCGAGGAGGGACACATCTCTATGTGAACAGCTGCAAACACAACACAACATAAATATACTATAATAAAAAACTCCACATATACTCTCCAAATGTAAACTACAGGTTATATCTCACCTCTGACAGCCAGCCGGCTCTCTGGTGATTCTCCACCATCAGAGATGCTGCACTTGTAGAGTCCTTCATCAGATTTAGAAACCCCTTGGATGTTGATGTTTCCTGAAGAGCTGCTCCTGATGAGGCGGCCATCTTTATAGAAGTCAGCTGAGAGGATGGAGGTAGTGCTCGTCTTGTTTCTGCAGCTCAGAGTCACAGATTCTCCCTCCATCACAGGAAGCACAGGACTCTCCAGGATCACAGAGCCACCTGAACAACACCGGGATCAAACATTCATAGAAACATTTTAAATCTAGGTGAAGGCATTGTGAAGATACTTCAAGAGTTGTTACATGGCCAGAATAATTGAAAATATCAGAAATAAACTGAACAGATTAATTAAACAGTTATGTATAGTAGTGTATCGTCTGCATAGAGGTTCATAATATGAAACTTTTCCTGATATCGTTGCAGCATTGAACGTGGAGTGTGTTATTTATTTAATATTTGTAGAAAATTATTAAAATGACATCAGAGACAGAAGAAAAACAACATTTGGTTTAGATTTTAGAAACATATTGATTTGGAATTGTAATAGGCTATGCTTAATGACTACGCTCAGCTTTGTGCACGGTGTTTGCTTGTATTGTACTTTCTTCATGAATTCTGTTGTTTCTTAACAATATTAAGATATAAAAAATGTTCATGCTTAAAAGGTATATGTTTATTATATAGTATATAGTATAACCTTATTGGCATCATTGCACTTTTATGTTATTCTCACAAACATTGTATAGAATCACGTTTATTGTTAAAAAAAAATCCACATGCAGGGAGTTTGTCTTCTTGTTCAATAGTTCATACATACACACAGAAAGAGAGTGTTGCTCTGTTAATGTCAACATACCGGTGATAATGACGTTCACATAGACGCTTTTCTTCCCTCCAGCCTCACACCAGTAATCTCCACTGTCCTCTTTATAAGGAGATGTAATGTTGCAATTCAACTCATGAAACGAGCCCCATTTTGAACCATCACAAGTTTCCTTTCCTGCTTTGCTCCACCGTGAAATGTTCACATCAGTCAAACCATCGAAGCCCACACATCTTAAAGAGACAGGCTTGTATTCATAGACTTGAAGTCTGGATGGTTCGATCCAAACATCTGCATCTGAAACTGAAAAATAAATGTGTTGTTGATATCAATATATAGCACTTTAAATAAAGTTATGATTTGTTTTGCTTTCTTTTTGGTAAACAAGCTTCTTACCAACTTTCTGTTCACAGAGCTGCAGAAACACCGTCATCCCTGCAGAGACAACAGAGACAAACATCAGACAGAGTTCTTATATTAGATTTTATTACATTGAATGTATTATTTAAATGTATCTTTGATAGATAATACTTGAAAAACAACTCACCATTAACACATAGAATACACAATAGAGAATAGTGCAAATGGCCATTTAGCAGCTATAAGTAATAGTATCTATATTTGCTCTTCTTTATTATACATATATTTAAATATTTAATAATAAGCATAAAATAAATACAAGTTATTTTATAAGAGATCTCACCTAGAAGATCCTCTACGTCTTGTCATGAATGAAAACATTTGAAAAATCTTGTATTTATCCATATGGAGGAAGATTTCTCTCAATATGATGTGTTTGGACAGATCAATAACCTGTGTGTACATGTTAAATGTGTAAAAGACCTCCAACAATTCTAAAAACGACTTGTAAAATCACAAACTATTCATGAAAGATGTGTAAAAAATGTTGTGTCTCGTCAGATTTGTTAGTATTATTTCTCTGTTTAGTTAATATTGTCAAGTCCGCATTTGGGGTGCCCCGGAACCAGGCAGTACCCCAGCAGGAAACACTTTTTATGGTCAAAGGACGAAAGAGTGATAGAACCAGGGTAAAGCAAAGAAAGTGTCCGACAATATTGACTTGTGAGGCGGCCAGAGAGTCTGTCATCTCTCGGTCCTATCCTCCAGGCAATGTATTTCAATTCATCCATAGAAAAGGGGTGAAAATGAAAAAATGTATCTGAAAATAGTGTCTCATAATATGGGGTAGAGTCCCCTGTCAACTCCCCTCACTTTCCTCCAGACTCAGAAAAAAGTCTGTTAACTTTTTGGAGATCCATAGAAAAGGGGTGAAAAGTGATAAAATGTATCTGAAAATAGTGCCTCATAATGCGGGTAGAGTCCCCTGTCAACTCCCCTCCCTTTCCTACAGACTCAGAAAAAAGTATGTTAAGTTTTGGAGATCCATAGAAAAGGGGTGAAAATGAAAAAAGATATCCGAAAATAGGGCCTCATAATGCTGGTAGAGTCCCCTGTCAACTCCCCTCACTTTCCTCCAGAGGCAGAAAAAGTCTGTTAACTTTTTGGAGAACCATAAAAAAAGGGTTAAAAGTGATAAAATGTATCCGAAAATAGTGCCTCATAATGCGGGTAGAGTCCCCTGCCAACTCCCCTTACATTCCTCCACAGACCAGTTCAAAAACGTAAAGTTTGGTAAGAACCGTGCTGGGGGGTCTCCGGGCAACAAATAAATCCGAGCCAGAGTGCACATGGAGCGGATACATTCCTCCATGAAATCAGACACCCGTTTGTTTTCGCAATCCTCTCAAAAAACGGGTTTCCGATTTCGTGCAGACCGTAGTCTGAAATTGATGAATGAATTTTTTTGACGGAGTAGGGGAGGCTTGGATTCCCCTCTCCGTTGTAAGTTGCAACGGGGGAGTGGAAAAGTGTCCGGGGCTTCGGCCCGAAGCGCCGAAGGGTTGAGCTTTGTTGAGCACTTAGAAATGTTTTCAACAATTTTTTAAAACCTCATTTTTGATTATTTTAAGATATAATTGACCATTTTCTTTACTTTTTTCTTCTTTCCACGGGTGGGGGCGCATGGCAGGCCGCCTATGAGCTCCCAAATTTGGCCTGGAACCTCCAGGATTTGTGAGCTAAGCTCCATAAACTGACAAAGTCACCCAGAAATGTCACTTTTATAGCCCAAAAATATATAATACAAATACATTTAAATAGTAAAAGGTACAATTGTGCTCCGAATTACCCGAAATTTGATTTATATAGCCCCATGACAGTGAGTAAAAATCATTTTCATGGAAAAAAGTGTTAAAACGCCTGATTAAAGCATATGCAGGACCCCAGTGAGCTCCAGACTATGTGCATTGTGTTAGGGAACCATATTAATGATAAAATAAATCATTTAAATGCAAAAATAATGATTAAAAATCATTTTTAGGGGGACAACTGTGGAGAGGAGCCTGAAAATGACTCTCCAGCACCCCGGAGAAGCAGGCTGTGAGACCCACAGAGCGCACCCAGACAACAGGCTGCTTCATCTCACTTTATAACCCAGGAAAGGAGCTTGAATCGTGGGAACATGTGTTACAATTGCATTAAACTGTTTTAATTCAAATGTGCATTTGACTGCTTAAACAGCCGCTGATATGGACATAAATATGTCCATTTCGTCCACATTCGACTGGTGAAATGTACAAGAAGGTAAAAACAGCAGAGTCACTGCTGTTAGGGTCTCAGACTCACAGGCACACATGCAGAGATCCAGGGTGATGCACATGGCTTTTCAACCCAGCAATAAGTCTCTGAAAGGCGGGGGAAAGAGGTGTGAATAGAGGCAGAGCGCAGCCAGAGAGGAGCGGGCTGCGAGACCCACAGAACGCACCCAGAGGACAGGCTGCTTCATCTCACTTTATAACCCAGGAAAGGAGCTGGAATCGTGGGTACATGAGTGTTAAAAGTGCATTAAACTATTTTAATTCAAATGTGCATTTGACTGCTTAAACAGCCGCTGATATGGACA